AGCTGACTTTACCCAGTAACTTGTCATTCAACCCTCGGGCTGAAAAGTGAAAACTCACCATCTTTCCTTAAGTAGGTTAGTGTCTCACTGGGGGGTGAATGTCCAGATATAAGAGCATAAAATAGGACAAGCCTGGGTACGGTGGTTCACACCTGTAATCCCAGCACTTTGAGAGGCCTATGAGGGTGGATCACCTGAAGTCAGGAGTTTGAGACCAGCCTGGCCAACGTGGTGAAACCCCGTCCCTCCTAAAAATACAAAAATTAGCTGGCTGTAGAGATGGAGGCCTGTAATCCCAGCTATCTGGGAGGCTAAGGCAAGAGAATTGCTTGAACCCGGGAGGCAGAGGTTGCAGTGAGCCAAGATTGTGCCACTACACTCCAGCCTAGGCAACAGAGTGAAACTCTGTCTCAAAAAAAAAAAAAAAAAAAAAAAAAAAAAAAAAAAAAAAAAATAAAAAAAAAAAAAAAAAAAAAAAAAAAAAGGACAATATATAATCAAATATCAAATCAGGCAGAATAGTCAGTCATTGAACCTTAGCAAAAAATTTTGCCTAAATGCTCTAAAAGTTGCTGTTTTTCTTGCTTTGCTTTTAAAATCAGAAAAAGAATCCGTGAGGCCTCATGGTGAAAGAGGCATTATGAGAGCCATCCAGAATGTATGTCCCTTCAGCTTCCTGATTTGGGGATTGCTGGTGACCTCTCCTGGATTGGACTCATTCCCCCACTCCAAAACATCCCCCAGCGGAGGCAGCCATCTTAACACCTGCAGAGTCTACACTACTCCATGCCCACACTAATCCAGACTTCAGGCATGAGGCACCCAAACAGGCTTGTTCCCAGTACAAGTCACGGTTCAATACAGGAAACAGAAAACTCTCTAGATCTGCCAAGATCACAGGGATTTAATAGAAGGTATGAAGTGGAAAGGCTGGAGGAACAGAGTCAGTGACAGCCACCAGAACCCCCTACACCCGCAAGGCCGGTGACTAGACAGTGGGCCATGGAGTCAGGCCACTGCCCATGCTTATGTCTCCCAGAGCCCTCTTGTACGCCTGCTCAGCTGAAGAGGGAGACCAGCTTCCTCTTTACTGCCTTTCAAATCCTATGTGCCCACACTTCATTATCAGAACCTAAATTGCATCCTGGTCTCTTATAGCAAAGTGACTGAGAATTACAGTTTTTACACTCCTAGGCCTGCAATACAGGGTGGTGGAGAAACCTAGGAATGCCAGGTGCTAGAGACAAAAACTTACACACTCTCCTACAGGGATTGTCACACAGTCACAGGCCTTAGTGGACTGTCTAAGAACAAAGTGCCCCAGTACACATGCTCTCCCAATTCCCTTTCCCCGGGAATCTCACTCAAGATGGGAAGTCTCAAAACCAACCGCCGAGAGCCATGCGGTTGCTTGAGTCACTGTTATGGTTTGGCCCGGTGTCCTCACCCAAATCGACCTCAAATTGTAATTCCCACATGTCAGGGGAGGGGCTTGGTAGGAGGTGATTGAATCATGGGGCAGACTTCTCCCTTGCTGCTCTTGTGATAGTGAGTGAGCTCTCACTATCTGGTTGAGATCTGGTTGTTTGAAAGTGTGTGTCACTTCCTCCATCTTGCTCTCTCCATCTCCTGTTCTACCATGGTAAGACATGCTTGCTTTCCCTTCTGCTTTGATTGTAAGTTTCCTGAGGATTCCCAGTCATGCTTCCTTGAACTTTAGGGCATTGAGGAGGGGTGGGGAATTGAAGAATTTAGAAGCACTTTCACCTTGCCCTGCCAGTCACCTTCCCAGTACACACCCTTTTCAAGATTTCATAGAGCAGTGGTTCTGAAGGTCTTGTCTCAGGCTCCAGCCCAGACCTGCTGAATCAGAAAACAGGGGTGGAGCAAAGCCACCTGTGTTTTGGCAAGCCCTTCACCTGATTCCAATGCCTGCCACAGTTAGAGAACAGCTGCTATAGGGAAGGACACACTTCTGGGATGTTGGGATAGTGGAAATAATGCCTGCTTGATTACCGATGGGGTGTAAACTGCATACTTCTCAGTTGGCTGAGATGGAGTATGCTGTTGGGTCTGTCCTCCCCAAAGCCCATATCCAGAGCTTCTTTTTTCCCTCCGGCTGACCATGTGGTACAGGATCCCAAAGCCACGGCCAGCACGTTTTTAGGTGAAGAGAGAGAAAAAAGGCCACACCCAAGCTGGGCATTGACTCAGCTATCCAATCCTAGTATCTGGAATGGAAAAAAGAAGGACATGGTTGGCATTCCTCATGACAGGGTCTCATGGTTCTGCTTTCTAGGAAACAGGAGAACAGGCCTGCTGTCTAGTAAATGTGGTTTAATCAGTGTCCTGAAACTTGAGCAGTAAAAGTAATATCTGTTCCTCTTAGGCAATGGGGCAGACAGGTAAGAGGAGGAACAGAAGCATTCCTCACTCTCAGCAACAATTGCTGACCTCTCCATGGTTCAAGACTATGCTGCTTGCCCCTGTTAAGATAATGGACCCCCTTCCCAAAAACCTCTAACTCCAGCTACCTTCTCCCACCCTCCCGTTCCTAGCCTGAACAAGCAGCACTTGGTCTCTGCTCCAGAGCTCCTATTCTAATCATGTTCCTGTTGTCAGCATTCCTCTCCTGGGCTTGGGACTCCGTGTCATTCTTTCTTGCCAGTCCTCTTCTTGGGGTCTGAAGCCTGACATTGTCTCTTTTTTCCAGTATTGTTTTCATAATCAGGAAAAAACTCACTGTGCTGAGATTTTGGAATTGAGACCCTACCTCCCTATCTCATTTTCACAGAGGGCCAAGCTCCGTTTCAAGTCTGCAGGGAGACAGACACCCTGTAGCTCATTGCAGAGCACCAGGAGGCAGCAGGGTCCTCAGCCCCACACCCCAAACCTGAACAGCGTAAAACTCATGGGGACCTTGTTAGAAAAGCCTAGAGTCTTCTAAAACCACAGCTTTCAAACTTCTTTTTCATCTATAAGAAATTTTACATTGCAATCCAGTACTCACATATACATGAAAAAACTGTGAAAGAATTGTTTATCATCCTTCTGATATTATCTATTCTATTTCATTTCATAAAGCCTAGTCAAATCCCACATTATTGATTTCATGAATTACTAATGATTGGCAACCTGCAGCTTGAAAAACAATTCTCTAAAGTACACACCATAATGAACACACTAGCAGGGCTAGCGTCAGGTCGGGCACTGTGGCTCACGCTAGTAATCCCAGCACTTTGGGAGGCTGAGGAGGGCAGATAATGAGGTCAAGAAATCGAGACTATCTTGGCAAACATGGTGAAACGCTGTCGCTACTAAAAATACAAAAATTAGCTGAGCGTGGTGGGGTGCCCCTGTAGTCCCAGCTACTCGGGAGGCTGAGGCAGGAGAATCGCTTGAACCCAGGAGGCGAAGGTTGCAGTGAGCCAAGATTGTGCCGCAGCACTCCAGCCTGGGTGACAGAGTGAGACTCTGAAAAAGAAAAGAAGGAAAAAAAAAAAAAAGGAGCATTAGTGACACATCATCACTGTTAGTGTTGCTGAGTGCTATATGCGTTTGTGTCTGCGCTCCTTTCATTTCAATAAAAATCTTAGAATTTCCCTCTATTCTGTTAGTATTTCAGTGAATAAAAAAACATTTTTATTGACTTCATCTTAATTTCAGATTTGGTGGTATTTGCAACAGCAGCACATGTAGATGGCCACATTTTTATTACCCAAGTCTTTTCCAAGTTTCAACAAGCATTTTTGTTTGATGACGTTGTTTTAAATCCAGTTAACCAATATAATAATAAAATGGGGTTCTCTTCTGTCGCTGTTAAATAACAGTAGTTCAAAGACCAGAAATATTTAAAGAACAAAAAAACTTAGATTTGAAAACTGAAATGCCTGCCTTCTGGAATAGATTCCTACCCTCAGCTGTCCTAAGAGAGACCCTCAAAGCCAGCGTTTTACAGCTGGGGGGATTTATTCTCCTTTATAAGCACGCACGTATTTGATCACTTAGGAACAGGCCACCCACACGACACAGGGAGACATGATCTTACACCCACAGGTACGTGCACACCCAGGCGCGCTTGCCCACCGACCTCACAGGTCGTCGGCAACACTCAGATTCAGGATAGGGTAGACTGCAACCTTAACCTCTTCTGGCTCTCCTTCCCCCAAATCAAAACCCACCGTAAACACCGCGAAGAACCGGGAAGCCTCAAGGCTTTAATCATTTCCTTTCCCCAAGCTCCATGTGGCACACAGGACATTCCGTTTTCCTTTAGGCTTGCCGTCATGCTGCTAGAGGTGCTGAAGAAGAAAAAAAACAAACCTATGTTTCCAAAGAGCAGAGGAAGCAGAGATTAAGCGCCAACCGGAGCGCGCTCTTCACCTCTTCGCCTTCTCCGAGCAAGCGAGGAAACCCTCCAGCTCTCGCAGGGGTTGAGGGTTAGCGCCACCTGGCTTTTTAAAGAAGAACAAGAGGCAGGGGCTAGATGAGGTTAAGAGGAGCCCGCGACCTCCTTTCCTCCGTGGGCACCAGGCGGGTGAGAAGAAGGACCCGGGCGCTCTTGGCTCCAGAGCCCAGGGCAGCCGGGCTGCCGGCCACCGCGCACTGCGAAGAGACGCAATCATCCTACCCTGAATCGAGAAACCCGGAAGCTTCCCTTGGTACTGGTGTTAGAGTAGTGGATTCCACATCTAAGGCAGGCGTGAATTGTAGAAATAACTGCGGTACTTAAAGTATTATAAACAAGCATCGATCAATTTACGCATTGATTAGTTCTGCCTCGTTTCTATTAATCACTTATTCTGTGTAAACTTCCTACACAGGCTGTGGGGATAGAAAAAGCAGACAGGAGAAAGGCCATCCTAGGATTCTGATCACTCTATGGCAGTGTTGGAAAGGAGCCAGGTTAAATGAATGCGTCTCCGAGCCCCCATTTGTTCACATGCACAATAGGTGAAACAGTGCCTTCAGTAAGTGCCCCAAGTGATTGAAAAATCACAGAGAGGTCGTGGAGGTGGATCTGGCAATTTTATGGGTCGTGGAGGAAACTTTGGAGGTGGTGGAGGTAATTTTGGCCGTGGTGGAAACTTTGGTGGAAGAGGAGGTTATGGTGGTGGAGGTGGTGGCAGCAGAGGTAGTTATGGAGGAGGTGATGGTGGATATAATGGATTTGGCGATGGTGGCAACTATGGTGGTGGTCCTGGTTATAGTAGTAGAGGGGGCCATGGTGGTGGTGGACCAGGATATGGAAACCAATGTGGTGGATATGGTGGCGGTGGTGGAGGATATGATGGTTACAATGAAGGAGGAAATTTTGGTGGTGGTAACTATAGTGGTGGTGGGAACTATAATGATTTTGGAAATTATAGTGGACAACAGCAATCAAATTATGGACCCATGAAAGGGGGCAGTTTTGGTGGAAGAAGCTCAGGCAGTCCCTATGGTGGTGGTTATGGATCTGATGGTGGAAGTGGTGGATATGGTAGCAGAAGGTTCTAAAAGCAGCAGAAAAGGGCTACAGTTCTTAGCAGGAGAGGGGGCGAGGAGTTGTCAGGAAAGCTGCAGGTTACTTTGAGAGTCGTCCCAAATGCATTAGAGGAACTGTAAAAATCTGCCACAGAAGGAGCAATGATCCATAGTCAGAAAAGTTACTGCAGCTTAAACAGGAAACCCTTCTTGTTCAGGACTGTCATAGCCACAGTTTGCAAAAAGTGCAGCTATTGATTAATGCAATGTAGTGTCAATTAGATGTACATTCCTGAGGTCTTTAATCTGTTGTAGCTTTGTCTTTTTTCTTTTTCTTTTCATTACATCAGGTATATTGCCCTGTAAATTGTGGTAGTGATACCAGGAAAAAAAAATTAAGGAATTTTTAACCTTTAAAAAAAAAAAAAAAAAGAAAAATCAAAGGAAAAACTGACAGGACAGTGCCTTCGACATTATTATTTCTACCATATTGTTGTTTTATTATTATACAATATCGTCATATTATAGTCATAGTGAAAATGGTAATCAGGTTATCATTATCCATTCAGTTCCTTATAAATTTGCACTGAGTTTGTATTTGAATATATAGATATAATTAATTCACAGTGACTGTTAATTGGAGGGCACTGCCACAAACTGCTTTATCTAGAACTTGGACCAGTTAGTTATCAAAAAGCAGTTATCTATTTCGGCATGACCTTTAAAGGGTGACATCTAGAGAAAGTTGCTTGAAAACTTTCTTTCCATGTAATCAGTCAAGAACACAAACACAGATGCACGGATGTATATAATAGGTGCACACTATGTGCACATATGAAAATGTGTACATGCATGGGAAATATGGATTTGCATTTATTATAATAATGATTTATGTACATTGCTACTCTGTTAACAAAAGACTTTTGCATTCACTTTTTAGTTCTCACAACATTAGGAGGTGTTGCTGATCCCCATTTTACAGATGAGGAAACTGAAGCATGGAACAATAACTTTCTTAAAATCTTGATGAGAAGTTACAGAACCAAAGCCATTTATTCAATTCTGTGTCATCCTGGTTGTCAACCTAGCAAACATATCATGGATAATTACTGTGTGCCAAGCACTAAAGCATGGTGGCCACACAGATCAAAGAAATATTCCACTGTCTTCAAGAAACTCACACCTAGTGGAAAGAAAGAGAAATTACTCTCCTGAAGGATATATACTGCACAATCAGCCTGGGGCTTAGTGAAGTCTTCCCAAAAGAGGAGATGCCCAGGCTGAATCTTGAAGGACAAGAATCTTTCTGATGAAGAAGGAGGGAGGTGTGGCCCAGGCAGAAAGACAACATGTGCAAAGGTATGAGGGCAAAAGAAATGAGAGTATTCAATATAGCTCAGAATCATGGCTTAATGTATATATAGAGACAGTGTTGAGAAAGATGAGAAAAAGCATTATTGGGGTTTTCCTGAGGTCTATGGGAGAGTGACTGAAAGATTTTAAGTAGGGAAATGACATGATCCAATGTCATTTGCATCAAAGATCAGCCCAGCTGCCATGAGGACAGACTTAAGGGTACATTAGCAGCAGGAGAAATGATGGAATAATGCAGGCAAAACTCAATATTTGTCATTGCTAAGGTAGGGGGCTCTTTGAAAAAAAAAGAGAAGATTTTGGGCCGGGTGCAGTGGCTCATGTCTGTAATCCCAGCACTTTGGGAAGCTGAGGTGGGAGTATCACCTGAGGTCGAGAGTTCAAGACCAGCCTGACCAACATGGAGAAACCACGTCTCTATTAAAAATACAAAATTAGCCAGGCGTGGTGGCATATGTCTGTAATCCCAGCTACTCGGGAAGCTAAAGCAGGAGAATCACTTGAACCTGGGAGGCACAGTTTGCAATTAGCCGAGATCATGCCATTGCACTCCAGCCTGAGGGACAAGAGCAAAACCCCATCTCATTAAAAAGAAAAAGAAAAAAAAAAAGAGAGAGAGAGAGGGTAAATTTAAAAGATATTAAGATATTAAGGAGGACCTCGTTACAGTTGCTAGGTTATTGGCCTGAGCACCAGATGAGTAGTGGTACCTGTCATAGAAACTAAGAGAACAGTCTATTAGTATGCAACAGAGACTAGAAATAAATTCTGTTTTAAGCATAGTGAGTTTTAAAAATCTAAATACATCTATATGGAAATGTACTCTGACAGGGAGTTGGATATTCAGATCTAGCACTCCAAGAAGTCTGAATCATAGAGAGATACAGCATTGGTATCAACTGAAGCCAAATAATGATTAATAATAATATTTGCAAACAGGCATCAAGTACTTACTATGTATCTGGCACTGAGCAAAGTACGTTTAGTAGATAATCTCATTTAGTCCTCACAACAACCTCACAAGGTAAGTATTTTTTTTTTTTTATTAAGTATTGCCCAGGAAGAAGGTTTCATATAAGAGGTCCAAAACGGGACCCTGAGGATTACATTTAAGAAAAATGGCAGAACTCTTCCTACTATATTGCAGAGCTATAGCATAATCATCTAGATTTAAATGCAGAAAGCTACACGTCGACCTCCAGTTGGCTGAATGTCAGCTCCATGCTTGCACTTTTCCTCCCTAGGACAACATTCTGGAGTGACTGCCAAGGCCAGCTGGCCCATTCCCACACTGCCTCACTGCCTTCCTATGGTCCCTCAGACTAGGTGCCACTTCTAGGGTTTTTTGGCCTCCAAATTGTCAAGGTCCTCAGCCTGAAGATGATAAAGGAAAAGACTACTTTTGTGTAGCGAAATCACCTGTTCTACTACACATCCAGGGAAAACATATCACAACTGTTACTCTGAAACACTTTGGATTCCATCCAGACAGCATCAATTGGGCTAGTCAAGGTCAACCAGGGCCAGGCAGGCAGGAGGAAGTGCCCTAGACTTAATTTTCAACATGGCAGACAGTCCTTGAGTCATCTCACATCAAGAAGGCACTCCTTGAAAGCAAGCAAGCAAGCAAAAACAAAAACAAAAACAAAAAACAAAAAACAAAAAAACCCCCAGCTTTCCAGGTTTACTACCTTACTCTTAATGTTGAATAATTCCTAGTAGCTTTTTCACCTCCTTCCAATATCCATCATTTGGGTGTCTGTTGTATGAGGGGAAAGGATCAGTTGAATACTATTTACTTACATAATTCGCCTTTCTGTTAAGTTTGCCTAGAGATTTTTCTCTTACATTGAATTCAAAACTCTTACAAACAAATCAGACTTGCTGCTGTACTTCTTATTAGAGGAACCATAACCTTGTCCCAATGGCCCTTAAGAGCTCCAAGTCTCACACAATAGAGCTGGTATGGTTAAAGCACCACCCAAGTGAAATGGTACCAAACATTTAGGTTTTGTTTTAAATTCATGCTCCTGAAGCCAGTTTGGCCCAGATATCCCCGGTGTGAATGAGAAAGCCAGGTGAGGACTGCAGATGTTGGGGATGGGGAGGAGGTAGCTTAAAGACTTGATCCGTGTTCACCTAAACCTGTCACCCAGATTTGTGGGCCACGTTTCTGCGACCTGAAGAAATCAGTTCCCTGGGCCCCAGTGTGCTCATCTGTGAGATGAAGGGGCTGAAGCATTTCTAAAGCTCTTTCCAAGTTTAATGTTCTCTGCAGACTTAATATAAGAATGATAATGCTTCCAGTGTTGGTTTTGCTGCTTCCATGTGGTCTGGGTAAGGCGCTCATTGAATGTTGATACATTACGGCATCAGAGAACATGAGAACAGAAATCAGATTTATGGACCAAACAGATCACCTAGATTAAAGATTAATAACATATCTGTATATGTATGTGTGTATATGTGTGTGTGTGTGTGTGTGTGTGTGTGTGTATCTATACATACACACATATACACAGAGACAGAGACAGAAATAAATATAGAGAAACTGACTGGTCAAGATAGCAGTGAGTTGATGGCAAAGCCAAGTCTAAAATCCAGGTTTTCTAACTATTGGTTAGGTAATTTGCCCACAGGTCCCCATGTGTGTCATGCATGCTGCTAGAATGCTGGAAGATTTGGTAAGATTCATGTTTAATCGGCTCCATGTGTGGTGTGCTTCCTTCCCCCACCATCATCAATATTGCCTTAGAAAAAGCCGCATGTTCTGGAGACAGAGTGGATCTTCTTTTAAATGGGAGCCCTAAGAATTCACCCCTGCCTTTAATACTAATTCTGCATGTAAATTTGCTGAAGGATAATATCCTAAGCCCATTTTTCAGAGGTGATGGAGTCCATTTAATCGAAGAGGCTAAAATAGATGAAATTATCTGGCCTGTCCTCCCACTGAGGACAATGTGGGGTATGAACTTAGCCTACACTAGATGTAGTAAAGAGGGCACCTTCCCAGCTCCATCCTATCCATGTGCCCTGAGCAAATAACTTCACCTTCAGGAAAATTTAGAAGTTGAACTAGATCACTTTACTGAATCCTAGCATTCTGAGATTTCACCTAGAGAAATTACTGAAGCAAACTGCCTAAATTTTTAGCCAACTGTCCTCTGCCTCTGTTTGCTAGGTAATTTTAAAAACTGGGATAGCGGTTTAGATAACAGTAGTAATAACAATAGTAAAAGCAGTTGATAAGGAAGAGGAGCTTTGCAAATGAATCTTGCTTAGACTGAAATCTAAAAAGTGGTTTGACAGGCTGTTGGCTTCACCTAGTTCAGTATATTCATTCAGTAAATACTTAGTAAGGGTCTCCCTGACCCACTACTGAGCAATGTGCTAAGGCCTGGGAATACAGTAGTGTACCACCTGGCCCCTACTCCCACCCATCTTCAAAGTCCTTTCCTAGGACAGATTCGGTTCTTGAAAAGCCTCATTGATCGCCTCCACGCAGCTGCCTACTGCCTCACGTGAACGCAAGGCGCCCTAGGTAACCCGAGCCAATGGCTCCCTCCCATTTGGGGAGAAAAAAAAAGTGGGGGGCGGGGATCCAAAGAAAGGAAAGGAGAAAATACTGAGAAACATGTTTTGGCAGGCCAGGCCTTCAGAGACTACCATATGTGCTCCATATTGAGCAACCCCTGGTCTTTGATGTTTTTCTGAATGTAAAGGCATTATTCTTTCTCATACTGTGACTAAGTACTACAGACATTAAAACAATGAGGCCGTAACGGGTGGACCTGGCTCTAAGTATTTAATTTGTCCTTCACCCAAGTGCCTGCCACCAGCTAGCTCCCCAGTTTGCACCCAGGCAGCTGGCAGGGTTGCCATCCCCTCTGGCCCCCTCCCCCTTTCAGACTCAAGTTTGTGTGTCTCCTAGAACACCTTAGCGCCAAGTTCCGAAGTAAGTACTTTTCCAAAGCCCTGCGAAAACGCCCCAGATGTTTCCTGCGTCACGGAAACAAGTCCAGTTTGGATCTGAAG